ATCGTCATCAAACCAGCTGATAAGGGGGGAGCTGTTGTGGTGTGGGACAGAGATCTGTACATCAAGGAGGCTCATAGGCAACTAGAAGACAGCCAGTTCTACCAACCGAGGACCAACAACCCTATCACCAAACATAACGACATGGTGAAAGGGACTATCAAGAAAATGATTGCAGAATCAGCGCTCCCCAAATCGGCCTCTGCCCTACACATCTTTGATAGTGACCTCGGTAAGCCATGCTTCTACCTACTTCCCAAAATTCATAAGTATGGTAACCCTGGCAGACCCATTGTCTCAGCATGCTCTTGCCCCACCGAACACATCTCGGAATTCCTTGATGGAGTTTTTCAACCCATCGTTGCCTCACTGCCTACTTACATTAAGGACACTAACCATGCTCTTCAAACCTTTGAATCCATCATAATCCCTCCTGAAAAGAAACATCATCTATTTCTTCTTGATGTATGTTCTCTATACACTTCCATCCCCCACACTGACGGTCTCTTAGCTCTCAAATTCTTTCTTGAGACTAGACCCCACCCATCTATACCCACTAACACCCTCCTCAGATTGGCTGAACTAGTCCTCACCCTCAATTCGTTTGAGTTTGGTGGCCAATTCTTTGACCAAATCAGTGGTGTTGCTATGGGGACTAAAATGGGACCCAGCTATGCTTGCTTGTTCATGGGGCATTTCGAACACTTGGTCGAAAGCAGCTATACTGGACGCCTCCCTGAATTCTATAAGAGGTACATAGATGATGGTATAGGGGTCACCACTATGGAGAGGAGTGAACTTGACCTGTTCATTAACTTTGTAGGCTCCTTTCACCCCTCCATTAAATTCACATCTCTTATCTCTGAGACCTCAGTCAATTTCTTAGACATTACAGTCACTCTTCACAAAGACACCCTACACACCTCTGCCTACTTTAAGCCCACTGACAGCCATAGCTATCTACTCTACTCTTCATCCCACCCTAAATCCTGTAAGGACTCTATTCCTTTCTCTCAATTACTTCGTCTTCGTCGACTTTGTCGGTCGGATGAGGACTTTTGGGACAAGGCACTTGAAATGATAGACTTTTTCCGGTGTAGGTCTTACCCGGAGACAGTACTTTCATCAGCCCTCCAAAGGGTTAAGAATATTACACGTGCTGATGCCTTCAGACCACGTCTGAGCGACAATGTTGACAGGACAAAACTCATTTTAACTTATCACCCTCACAATCTGATTGCTAAACGTGTTTTCCTTAAACATCGATCTATACTACTCGCAGACACCGACACACGAGAAATTTTCTCTTCCCCACCTCTCATTGTTTTCAGACGGGATAAAAATCTGAGAGACCTGCTTGTACGCAGTCGTATCAATGCTCCCCCCTCCCACTTTGGGACCAAGCCGTGTGGACGCAGTCGTTGCAACACGTGCCCTTTTGTCGTCCAGACTGAACGCATACGTTTCCCCAAGGGCAGTTTTCAGATACGCGACGGTTTCCTCTGTACAAGCCGCAACGTTATCTACGCCATTGTCTGCACCCGCTGTCAGATGACATACATAGGGGAGACTGGACGCCGTCTCTCGGACAGGTGTACCGAACACCTCCGAAACATTACACAAGATAAACAGTGTCCCGTCTCCAAACACTTCAATAGTAGCGACCACCGGGGCAAGGCGGACTTTTCAATAAGTGCGATTGTGGCTAGCACTAACACCGCCAGCCGGGTCAATTTGGAACACAGACTTATCCTGACTTACGGCACTTTGACGCCAGATGGGATTAATGTTATGTCTCTGTTCACAGCTTGACCCTAGCTCCGCCCCTCCACGTTCTGACCTATCACAGTGAACTTTTTTCTCCCCTCTTTTTTTCGCCGCTGCTTATTTAAACTCTCACTCATTTTCCTTCTGCCACACTTCTATTGCTGCCCACAGATACTACTTACCAGCTAAGTGCTATTTCTTATTTTTATAACGTTTTTTCTGTTGTTTTGTTCGCTGACGAAGGCTTTCTGCCGACACGTTCGCTGTTTTGTTGCGTTTAATTTTTCAGGTTTAACCATACTCTGTTTTACTCATTTTATTTTGTACTAACCTGATTGCAGTCTCTCCCCTTATTACCCCTTTGTTGCATGGAGTTTGTAACAACTATATAATGAATCAACTACTAGTGTTGGTGGTAAATAAAACCGCTAGAGAAATTGAATTTATTTATTTTATTATTAAGCTATCAGACAATTGTTGAATTGTTTTAAAGAGAAACGCTTGTTTTTGTTTTTTTGTTTTGTTTTTTTAAGGCCTACTTTTACTTAATATAATTTACAGGTCCATGTTTTAACGAAATCAAGCAGCGGACATTGCAACGTTTATTTAGGAGTTGTTTTTTTTATTACGTTCTCTCGCTTCACACAACTTTTTTCTTTCTAGCTATTCACAATCAGATAAGGAGTAGAAAATAAAAATAAAATTATTATATTATCAGCATCTTGCTCCAAATAGTAATAATAATAATAATTGAGTATTTCTTGATAAATTCAAAGTTTCGATTGCCACATGTGGTGGGTCCCTCTCAAAACTATAAGGCTATAAGGTTATTAAAAAAAGTAATAAAATTTTAAAAACAACAACACATAAATGTAAAGGTTTCCACCCCTTTTTACGACTTTGTGTGTCATTTTAAGCAATTGGCTTAAGAAGAGGGATGGGTTCATGGGGAGGAGGAGCCTGGGGTGGGCCAAGATTCTTTTGCCTCCCTCATCCCCCACTCCACGAAAATTAAAAAAAAAACTCTGCTATTGAACGCAAATACCATCCCTCAGTGTATGAGACATGTTAAAGTGACAACCGAGCGGACCAAGGCCCCCCCCCCCACTTCCCGCCCCCGTCTTAAACTAGTGGGCAAAACTGTACCAAACAGATTGACCACTCGATGATTTCATAATGAAGTCACATTATCTATCGAATAGTCAAAAAAGGGAGTGTACCACCAAACTAAAAGATCAATTTTCTCCCCTCCTAGTCTACCTTAATTATGTACTTGTTTATGGCTGTTGCAATTTTCTTTATTTCTTTGATTAATTTTTATATAATGTATTTAAACAAAAATTTTGATTAGAAAAAAGGAAAACACCTTTAACAATGAAATTATGTTAATTTTATCTGTGTATCAATATATATATATATATATATATATTTTTTTTTTTTTAATGATGAGAATGATGTTGAAAATGTAAACTGAAATTTTTTTTACGGCATTTTATGTTGTCTCAGTTTGCGTTTATATTTATATTCGTTTCT